TGTGCCTTATGCACCAGAATACCAATACTTCAGTAACTACGTAATTAAGGTTATGAGCGAAGCCAAGAGTGTCGAGAAGGAAGGCAGACTATCTCCATATCCATTGGGCATTTCTCTCGCATCTACATTGCGCAGGAAATGAATTTTCTGCTCTGCGCATGTGGCAACTCTCTCATTTATTTATCTCTGTGATGCTGTCATTATGAACGTAAACAATTCTAGTTTGACAGTTTAGGCGACTTGCAAGCAGAAATATTTGGTTAATATTAATAAACCAACAAAGCATGGCAAAACGTAAATGAAACAGAAACCTTTGGGAATCAGGATTTTGCGATGTACGTGATTATTATCTTTGCATCATTTTTAAACTGCTCCCTTGGCTCTTGATGTTATACCTGTAATGATATGTCGTTATTTATTTGCAGTGTTTTTTTATCTCTTCATCATTTCCGATATCATCAAAGATCATGGCACGTAATATCAAGTGTTTTTGGTCCATGTGTAACAAAATATACTCGTACATGACGATTGTTATATGAGCTTGAAAGGTGTTGAAGAATTCCCAGATGTACATGATGCCTACCTCCTGACGACAGTGACAAATGTAAATTAGCATTTGAATAAACAGAAAATTTGATTATAATATAGTTAGGAGTAACCAGTGTCTAGTCTTTGGCTCCATTAAATGCAGATGCTGCTATTTAAATAAGAAAAAACTGAAAAATTCGGCAAGCATTGATGAAACCATAAAACCATTAGGTATAAGTATCAAACAAATATATCAAAATCTTGATCAAAATGAGGCATGCCGCAGGTTATAATGACATTTTTGATATGTTTCACGTGCATCTGTATAAATGCGCAAACGCTCTTCGCGCTAGACTTCCGAGATCCAGATTAGACAAATAAGTAAGTGGATTGAGCTACATCCGGTTGAAGATTATTGAAGATGGTTGAACGAGTTGATACGTGGTTTGGATGTTAAACGGGAAATTCGACATTTCCGTGGTTTTGGTATTGCGCACTATGTACCTTGAAGATATTAAATTATGCAAAATTAAGATATACGCCATCGATAAGTGAATATTTAAGTGTAATGTACAATAATAAGCAATATAAAATATGAATGATTCTTTTGCTTAAGTTAGCCAGCCCCTACTTTTTACTAAAACATAAGCCCAGAACGGGTTTCCGGGCATTTTCCAGTATTATTTTAAAAAAACTGTGGACGTGATTTCACTTCTTTAAAACCCAAATGCTATATTAAGCTTAGAAAAGTTCTTCAAAACTGGCTTATTCCTCAATGATACAGTTTTTATTGTCCTCTGAAAAATTCTATTTGCGTCGTAGGGTTTTTGAAACGCCCTATGGAATTCTTTTAGTCTTCGACAAATAAACGCAGTAAAGCATTCGATTTGACCGAATATTTTCATAAAGACTGGTTTTCAGGCGCTCGCTTATTTAACAAAATAACAGTTCAAAAGATCTTTGAAAGAGTTTGACTTTATTTCAAAGAGAAATGTTATGGGTATAATAAATTACATGTACTTAATGTAGAAGTTGTGCGTAGACAAATTGGATAAAATACAAAATTATGCAAATCGAGAACATTTGAGTGATAAGAATTTAGTTTCTTAATTGGGATTGATTGAATACTTCGATTAAAGCCTTTAAGCACAAACGGTTTTAAGCTATATTTCCCAGTACTCGTAGTTTATTGAATATATAGAACTTGGGATCTAATGAAAATCGCTAGGAGAATTTGCTCAAAAATGGTCGCTTTATTCCCAATGATTGATATGACAATGTTATACAGTGTGTCCATTTTAACCTCATTACCAAAATATTTCAGAATCTACACATTCTTGAGAAAGAAGTTTTAAAAGTAGAATGGTGTTGAAAGCGCAATGTGATAGTGACCTTGGCCATAAGATTGGCCAGGACCTTCAGGCTCATTTCAAGGTCGACTGAATACTTTCAATTGGAAACCACTCTTTTTATATCGCAAATTTTACCTTGACCTTGAAAATTGCTATGACCCCCAAAGGTCATTTCTAGATCGAATCAAGAGATTAGATACTCTAGCAAAAATATTCATCACATTTGTGAGGCTTGTTGGGGGTCACCTAAGAGTGACGTTGCCCATGATTTTCAAGGTGAGATCAAAATTTACAGAGAATGATCCTCACTTTATAACGGAATTGGAGTGAGCAGGAAATTTTACATTCTAACGTGACCTTGACTTCAAAGGCAGTGTCATGATAGCTTAAATGTCCTTTGTAAGGCAATCCATAGATTTTCATGCCTAAATTGCAGACATCAAGAAATGTTATATTTAAATAAGTAAAATATTAATTTGACCTCAAAGGTCGTGGTTAAGGTCACTGTTGGATGACTACCACAAACCTCACAACTGTGCTGGGAAGCATTGTTATTAGATCAAATTGTTTTTAACGTCTTGAGTCGACCTTGAAGGTCAAGTCATGGTCATATTCGGAAAATATCCACTTTACGTTGAAATGACCATGGATATTGTAGCCAAAATTATGATCAAAGCATTTGTCATTTTGCTCCCTCGAAGCCCTAGAGCTTTGGTTAGAAACTGTTTCATCTAGGATCCGTAGCTTTAGAAATATTTAGGTGGGGAGATTAACATTGAATACCCTGTATATTATCTTTGCCCAAGATACTCTATCTGAAAAGAAGCCAACCATATAGTCTATTCCGGCAACCAAAACAGGATCCGAATGATTCTAAGACCATCTATGGGACAGCAGCAAAACCAAACACTACAACCCTTTTAGATAGATTTCTAAACTAATTTTTGTGTTCTGCTACTGTCTCATAGATGGCGTCAGTATCTTCCAGATTCCATTTTGGACGCCGGAATACACTATTCGGTTGGCTATCTTCAGGTAGAATATATGGTATTCAATGGTAATATTATGCACTAAATTGACTAAGGAAACAAAAGTTTCAACCTAAAAGTGGACTATCACAATATATATGTATCCTAACACCTGCTACGTGTCCTTATAACACCTCTTCTCACAGCATGAAAAAGCAGAACCACACCCTGTTGAATCTGCTTTCGTGATAGATATTCCGAACATTTGTTTTTTAGACGTTGCTTCTGTCATAGCCAATTAGGTTGTCAAGAAAAGGATTAAAAAAGTATCTATCATCGTTAGTAAAAGCAGAGGAATTGCCTTAATAACACCATATTAATCAACGTGTAATCCATTTAACTACGTTTTGAATACCACTGCTCCTTATAAGAAATTAATCTAGACAAACAAGTTTTTCTTCTTGCAAAGCTTGCACGCTTTGAGTTTTTGATCGATAATCCTGAGAATTTATCAAATGAACTACTGGAAAACCGTTGGTTTCAAACTCCAAAGAGCTTTTACATTTGCCGTGTTCATGTAACACCTGACATCCTGTGGTTTTTGTGCTGATAGAACATAGAACTTCATTAGTATTAATAGCAAATATCTTCGCACCCGATTGGGAAAATGTTCTGATTCGATATTTTTTGCATAACCTTATTCGAGAAGGACCAATTTTAACGAATCTACACGTAGCCAGGCTCGACATTGCGTCAAAGATTGTATAAGCAAGTTGTTCAAACATACTTCCAAAAAAAAATTTGTTCGCTCCGGACAAAGTTTTCTTAGATATTTAGGGCCATTCAGAACAAAAAAGAGCCTGGTAAACGTCTTTCTTATGCTAATAGATTTTGAGATATCAGCGATTCTAAAAGTGCGAAAGATGTCGTCTTCAACCCCGAAACATTTTGAAAAAACGAAAATTTTAATATTAACAAAGTTCTTCAAAGATCCATTAATAAAGTCTCAAACCGTTTCAAGGCGTGTTGTCATATTCTTGTTTTTGTTTTTGAATGATTATTAATCACGCGAGCTCAATAGATATTCTGGGTGAGCACGAGAGAAATGGAGCTGGCAACCGCCGCCCCTACGCTTATTAATAAAATTTTGCACGGAACTTATTTGATTGTTTCTTTTATCGACTGATTCTCGGAACTCAATTGCAGCACCAATTACTCGTGGTATATAACATTGCCTTGTAGTGCTGTGAAACGTGTCAATGATATGCAAACAGAGAGGCCGTCTAAGTACAGCAAAACTAAAGACTCCCATTATTAAGAATCACTCATAGTTTACAAAGTTATCTCCAACAGTGTCTATTAGTTACAAGTGTATGGCTACCTGCTAAAGCATCGTAATAACACTAATAACGGATATAGTAATAAAGTGTTTTTGCGTTTCTACCGGGCTTTCAGTTGCAATATTTTATCGTGCAAGATATTGACTGATATAAGCGGTTTCAGCGGCAAAGAAATTGTTGCGTACTATAAAGTTATTTCGATTAGTCTTTCGAGGAAGATATCTAATTTTCTCGGCCGTTTCTTGCCTCGGGGCATGCTTTCGGTAGGTAGCATTCTACCATTATCTTAATAGTTTTCTGCAGTTTATCGAGAAATGCGATTCAGTATACCCAAGAATTTACACAAGCGTAGGTTGTTGGTAGACGAAAACTAAGCAAAAAAAATGTATTGGGGTTTGAAAATTTAAAAAAGATTGCGTCAAGTAGGTTGACTCTGCACTTTCTACCCAACACTGTCATCAATTCATAAAGGAATATATTCGGCACACGTTAGTCCCTTCCAAAAAGGTGGCTACGAACACGTATAACAAAGGTCCTAAATGGATCATGTCAGTCAAACAGGCTTATATAATAAGTCCACAGTATCGGTCACCGAGCATCTCTGCCTGCATCGCGATCGCAAGCCCAGCACGACGTTGCATACACGGATACACGCATCATCGCTCAGTTATCCCTCAGCATTCGAAACAGACAGATGTGTGCTCATTGAGCTGTCCGGCACGCCTACAACGAACGTATGTCTCCGTGTTACAATTTTAGACTTAGACATTCTGATACATCCTCATCCAACCAACGACAAACAAAAAAATTACCTAATCTCTTTGAAGCAGCTCATGCAGCGCGGCAATGTACGTTTGCGCCATCTGCAACGTCTCGAACTTTGACAGCTTCCGGTCGTTGCCCAATGAGGGCACGACATCTCGCAGTCTGTCAAACGCGTCGTTCAGGCTGTTCATTCTTCGTCTCTCTCTCGCATTTGCTGCTAGCCTTCGTTTCTTCATCACCTCCATACCGGCTTGGGGTTGCGTGGATCTTCGCCCGGGAGGCTCCTTTTTGTACTTTGGGTCACCGTAGTATTCGTGCCTGAAACAAGAGAGATTTGTATCAAGTAGATTGACTTGGTGCCCCCAATACGCTAGTGAAGATCATGGACACCATGACATATGATTCAAACATTTTGTTTAGACTTGCTTTCCAAAATAATAATGCTGCTTGGTAAAACGTAACTCCTTTTGCAATTCAAATACACAGTGTAAAAAACAATATAATGAATCAAAATGTTTAGGTCGCAAGTCCCCTTTTTTCGCTTTTGCAGCAGTATTCTAAATACTTTTCATGCGACTATTTCCCTCGTTTCAATTTCTACCAATCACAAACGCGCAATTTTAAATTTCAAATGGTTTATAGATGAAAAAAATGTATGGCAGCACCTGTCGGCAGTTTTTTCGAGTTTACCCGCGGCAAAACTTGTATGCGAAATGATCTGTTATTCATGAAATAGTCTTGTCAAATAACATTTGGGTATCTAAGTTTTTCCTGTGAAAAAAATCGAAAACACATAATGCCAAGTAATATTTTTTTATCAAAAAACATTCGTGCGGCACTAATGCTTCTTGATAAAATAATTACTTAGCAACGTGTTGTTTCGATATATTTCGGAAAAATTAGATGCCCTTATGATATTGCTTATAATTACTTCATGGTGTATCTAGAGATGACTAAAAGCAATCCTATCATTTTTTGATAATAAAAGCATTCTTAGTGCAATTTAATGCACATTTTTTTTAATCGTATCTCGTGAACAAATATTGGTACTGCTCTGAAACGATTATTTCACTTTTATGGAAGAATGAGGCGGGTGATTAATTACAATCTTACCACTTTGTTTCTTCAAAAAATTTTTGATTTTCTTTAAACCTCATTTTGCAGCAAATGTAGTTGCCAAGAAACGCAATCCCCTCCCTCGGTCTGCAATATTCAATCTTTTCCCTATTCTGTTAATCTATTTGCATCAACACTAAAATCCCTTTCCAATGGATACGAGGAGGGAAACGCTGGCAAAAATGTAATTGCAATTTTCCAAAGCCCAGAATATTTTTCGCAAAATGGTTGATAGCCTTTTTTAAATTTCAGCTTCAGCTCCTCATTAGTACTGAGCTCGAGCAGCTCCTCTTGTAGTACCACATTTGCCATTTACATTTCATCAAATAGGTTTATGAACTATATGGTATTTCCATCATCAGAATATCGTCAAATCTGTTCTTGAAGTCATCGTGCAGAAGACTTGAATTTTGAATATGTGCTTGAATATCCACGTCCAGACATTCTGACATTCTGACTATAGCCAGCTTGGAAACTTCTACCGAATATCGAATATACAAGTTTATACGAGGGACAATCACTGGCCTCTTAAAATATTATTTCACGCCATTTTTGTTCCTTACTGCCGAAACAAGATACATGTTCGTGAACCCCCCCCCCCTCCCACTTGCAACTTGGGAACAATCATTTTTGTCACGCCACCGTAAACCCCAATTGAGTCTCCCGAGGACTCCTGGGGATAAGCCTGAACTATTTTGAAAAACACTGGTCTTAAATAAACATATACGTATGCATATACATATAAAATTTTTTATTGAAGAGACGATATAAATATAGAGTTGGTCAAAGAAAGAAAGAAATTAAAGTTTCTTAAAATTTCAGGTACACAAACATCTCAAGCTTTGTTATTGATCTTTGCATGAGGATTGCTTAATATCTGGATCAGATGAAGATTTGCTCAATATCTTAATGCTTAATGTAACACTTGAAACTTATCCTGAGGTTTTCATGCTGATCATCCTCGATGCAATTCAAACATACCATATGTACAGGGTACTATAAAAGTTTTGCAATACAGCTTTATTTATTGACTTCGTTCAAAGTAATTTCCACCACATTCAATACACTTCTTCATCCGCCAAAACCAGTCCGTAAACCAGCTCTGTCAGGTTTCACCCGGGAGTGCGGCACACCCGTTGTCCCAAACCCTCAGAATGTCCTCATCGCTAGTAAACCGTTTTCCTCTTAGGTTCGTTTTCACACGCGGAAACAGTACACAGTACAAAGTCGCAGGGAGCAAGATCTGGACTGTAATGATGGTGCTCAATAAGTTTAAGTCCAATAGTGGCCAAATACTGGAGATACGAAGTTTCCATTCTTGACTTTGGTCGCATGTTTTTCATAGACTCTGTAACTTTAGGCAGGTACTGTTCCATGTACCACTTAGCTGTGACTGTCTTCTGTGTCTCCAAAACGACCCGCTCCACAATCCTGCTCGATTGAAAAAATACAGCTATCATTTTTTTTAACAGATTGGGATTTTCTGGCAGCTACGGGTATGTCCTCATCATCAAAAACCCAAACTTTGTTTTGAGCCTTGGTCGGCACATCGCAATAATAGAGCCAAGTCTCGTCAGCTGTCACGATGCTGTTCATATACCGAGATCGCCCCTTATTAAACATTTTCAGCATATTTCGGCACCAAGTCGTACGACGAGTCTTATGCTCTTCCTATGCGGTAACCAGAGATAACAAAGTTTCCGTACGTGTAAATGGCCATGCAGAATTGAATGAATTGCTAGTGCATGAAGGTGTAAGGTCTTCTCTATTTGTTCGTACGTCACTCTCCGGTCTTCGTCAAGCATTTTCCTCACAGCAGTAATGTTTTCCTCTGTCACTGACGTTCGCGGCCTTCTTTCCTTCTCAGCGTCCTCCAGAATGAAATTGCCCCTTTGGAATTCTCTGTACCACCTGAATATAGTCGTACGATGAGGACAATCACTCTTTAATGCAAGCGTCATTTCTTCTAGGCAGTGGTCTATTCTGAAACCACGCGTAAAGTTATACCGTAAAACTGCCCTTATCTCACTACATGGCCACAATGCCATAGTCTGCACTTTACACTGTCAATACGAATGAACAACTAAATTAACAGACGTGTTGCTGGCGATTACTATGCACTCATGGACATGTCTCAACATGCAGTAACATGCAGCGTCCTACGTTCGTTTGTTAAGTCATATTGCAAAACTTTTATAGTACCCTTTAGTTCCATTTGGCTTGGAATAATCCGAATGCTTGATTTTTTACATAGAAGCAGCCGCGAAGGTAAAATCTATGTACCCACTTTTGACCTGCTTTGAGATTATGGAGAGACCTTAGGACTAGCTTTTCCATTAAGTAAGGTGGTGTACATGTTAAATAAACTTAGAAATGAGAAGTTATATTTATTTTCAACAATGATAGGTCTGAGATATGCGATCGTGTTTCCTCGGATCGTTCATTAATCTACTGCATGTATTTTGCAAGAATGTTATTAGTAAGTATCTAAAATGAAATTTGTACATAATATAAGTCGCTGGCAACGTCTAAGCAGTAATGAGAAAAAGTCAAGCTTTCTGCGTACTAAAGCAAGATCACTGAAAACTTAAACACCTCATAGTATTACGTGGGTAATTTGTAATGTAACATTTTACGATCTGTCAGTTACTGTGAATAGCAGCAGGTTAAATAGCTTATTTCCGTTATGTAAACTCAGATGATTTTTACTATTTTAATGAGAGGTTATTACTCTTCCAATGAACCCTCATAGCATCTTTAGTTGATAACTAAATGCTATTTCACGTACAATGTTGTTAAATTAATTAATTCATTTAACGAAAGATTTATAAGCACCTTTTCCAAAAAAGGACTATTATGTTCTCCCATTTCAATTATATGCTCGTCTTATGCCTTTTGATCTGTCGGAGTGGTACCAAGGTCGTCTAAGCCCTCTGCTTTTGGATTAGATTTTGTCTATTATATGTTTATGACATCGTTGAGTATGAGCGGTCATTGGCCAGACTTTGCGGTACATAGTACTCTATGTATCTGTTACTACAAGGTCGATTGAGTTAAACTTAATAACTACCCTTAATCTTGCGATTTTGGGGTACAATGATAACTGTGTTTCGACGTTTGTTGTCTTCTTTAGGGCTACAAGGTGCAAAAATAGATTTCAACAAAATATAAAGAACCAAATAAAGCTATATGTTAAATAATAGATTGAAAATATACCAAGATGTTAAAAAACAGTAGTATACACAAACAAAAAATATATATGTGCAAATAGAAAAACTTTGAGATGAAATATTTGAGACTTGATCCAAAACAAGATATTCTTTAAAATATAACCTTATGTAACATTCAAAACTTATCCATGTGCTTAAAATTATTAGTATACAATCAAGAAGAATTTTAAACAGATGTGGTTCGGTTGATGCTATATAACTTTATTTGGGACTTTTGTATTTTGTCGAAATCTATTTTTCGCATTTTGTAGCCCTGACGAAATCGCCTAATTGACGAACCGTCGGCTTTATGAGTGAAATGCATCATTGAATGCCTTGAACAATGTATGTCGAAACCCAAAGATTATGACAAGACGTGATTCACCTCCTTGGTTAAAATCCAGCTTTTGTGGATAACTGCCTCCATTTCATATGTTGTTGATGTACTATGACTGAAAACTAAGTGATACTGGCTTCAGAGCCGACCGCAAATTTTAGTTACATCGCGTACTAATATGATATATTCAAAACTTGCTAAATTTTAGGTATTCTAATGCTAACCAGTAAACTTGTCAGGCTAAATGTTGACCGGCATGTGTATTGTCTATCCTGAAAAGTGACATTATGTCGTTTTTTTTTAATTATGTTGGTTTTTCAACAAGATGTTAACTTAGCACTAGCTGATGGACACTTGCTGTGAACTCGTTTTGTTGTATGTATTGCCTAAACGTCATGATGCTTTAGTTATTAATGTTTGGCTCTAATGTGAAGTAACATCTGCTTCAGAGATGGCATTATTGGAGGTCTAAGCTGTAAGTAAGTATAGCTGGAAGGAAACGGCAGTGCATAGGCGCATAGTGAGGATT